ATCCGCAAGTGAACAGGATTGTGATCAAGTAATATAGTAGTATGTAAAGTGTCGAACCCACGAAAACTAAGTGTTTATCGAGTTAAAGTTAATAATACCCTTAATCGAATAGTAATAATAATTTGTAATAAATCTATGTCAATTTATCACGTACTAGAAATTAAAGTAAAATTTTATCAAATTTTCGAGATACATTACTAAGATGTAGAATCTCACTTGTTAATCCGTTTTTAGTACAACAATTAAAGTGACTATTTGTTATCATGTGAGTTGGTCGAAATTCCAAATTTATTTAAAAGTTTCTCTCGATAGCAATTGGTCATTTATGTCAGGTAAATGTACCCTAATGTGAGTAGTTATAGCCTTGTAGTGCTCCTTTGGATTTGTTTCAATGTCATTAGGCAATGCTCCTGGTAGTCTCTCTGAAAGTGCATTTGCTATCCGTTCCATCTGATTTTTCAATTTTTTTTATGGCAACTCCCTGTACTTGCAAGCTCTTATCTGTACATTACATGTGTTGAATAGACATTTTCGCCAACTTAGTCACAATATCTTCTAATGAAAACCAAGGTGGTTTCTCCGATCTGGGTAATAAGTGTTAGGATTTGGATTGCATTGCTTCCTTTGAAAATTTTGAGTGTAGTCAACATCCTCCATTGTCTGCATAAAGGAAGATCCTACATTACAATCAATACTCTCATGATTCCCTCCACAATGTTTAGATTTTGGTCCTATTGCCTGGGCTACATTCATCTGATCCACCTTATGTGCCTATGATGTCAACTGTGCTGAAATTGCTGTCAAAAAATCAACTTCGAATACCCCAACAGCTCTATTTCCACTCGTCCTTTCAGTAGGCCAAAGTGCACCGGTAAATACTAGATCCTCCATGATTTAGTAGACTTGATCCGTGGTTCTTTTTGTGATAGAACCATCGCATGCGGAGTTTACATTAGCCATGCTTTTTAATTCAGACCAATGTAGAAGTACTGCACCTGAAGTCATTTCTACAATCCGTGTTGTAGGCATTGGTGGAGTAAATCCTTGTATCGTTCCCAAGCATCTGAATAGCATTTTGAGTCCAGTTGTTGGAATGTTGTAATCTTGTCTTTCAGCTTTGCAATCCTCTTCAGTGGAAAATATTTGCTAAATTTTTTTTGACTAAATTGATTCCACGTAATGATGCTGTGAGGTGGACACGTGTCTAACCACTCTCTGGCTGAGTCTCTCAACGTGTATGAAAAAAATCTCAACTTGATTGCTTCATTGGGACATCCTGGATACTCGATAGTTGCACACATGTCAAGAAATCTTGATACATGAGCGTTGGGATTCTCCGAAGCTCTCCCAAAAAATTGTAGCATGTTTTGGAATATGTTGATCACATCAGTCTGTAGGTGGAAGTTTGCCTGACTAAATGCCGAATATACTATGCTAGATTGGCTTTCCACAACCGGTGGGACCATGTATTCTCCCATTAGCCTTGCATTTTCATTAGCAACAACTACATTTGGTTGCACTACTTCCAAATTAGCTCTTATGACTATTTGATTTGGATTTTCTGCTGCCATATCTTTTTCTTTTTGTTTTTGATATGTTTCCAACAGTTATCTTTTTCGAAGGTTGAATGTTCATTCGATCTTCGGGTCAAATTGAGTAAGATCACCGGTTCTCAAATTTCGCATACATATTCTCAAAAAAGTAAGTAGAAACACAATAAATTTTTATTTTTTATTTATAAAACTAAACTAAAAAAACAGTAAAATTCATATTAAAGTTAAAATTAACTAGACGAATCGAAAACAGTAGTCTCCGGCAATGACGTAAAAAACTTGACCATTTGAAAACTCGAAAATGAACCGGATCGTGACCAATTAATATATTGGTGTGTAAAGTGTCGAACCCACGAGGATAACGTATTTTATTGAGTTAAAGTTAATAATACTCTTAATCGAATAACAATAATAATTTGTAATAAATCTATGTCTAATTTATCACATACTATAAATATAAATAAACGTTTATCAAAATTTTGAGAATTCATTGCTAAGATGTAGAATCTCAATTGTTAATTCATTTTTAGTACAACAATTAAAATAATTCTTTGTTATCATGTAAGTTGGTCGAAATTTCAAATTTATTTGAAAGCTTCTCTCGACAGCAATTAAATCTAATCCTATATGTGACATTTATATATCTCTATAAAAGATATAGTAACATATAAGAAAGCATTATACGAGTCAGAACATCTAAAAAAAACCATGCGAAACATAGATGTGTATATCTCTATCTCTATCGAACATCACAATACTTATTACTACGTGCTAACAATTCTACTATCTCTCTCGATGACAATACAATCCATAAATAATTCAAATAATGGCCAATTAATTGAAAAGCATACTAAATTATAATAAACATCTAAACATTCAAACAAATTAACGTCAAAATAATTAATTAATGCTAAAAATTTCAAAATAAGGGTTCATCAATACCTTAGCAATGTAAAAATTTAGCCTAACATAATATTGAAATTAAACACACAAAAGTGGAATGACATCACCTGAAATTAACGAAACATGAACAAATTTGGAATTAATTGAAGCTTTCTTTGTTTTTCCAGTCCCTACGTGATTTGTCTTTTTGCGTGCTCTATGTATATATAATTATAGCCACCAACTTGACCAATTCTCTCCATGTATGTATGTCTTTCTTTCTAGTGGTTTCTGTGCTTATATATACTAGTCTTGCATCGTGCGTTGCACGATTACAGTTATTTTTTTCTAAGTGATGCTGTTAAATTCATTTTAGGCAATATAAGCATTCAATGATGTATACAAGACTTAGTGCTTTATAATTTGTGTTTAATATCACACAATCTGGTAATATAAAGTTTTGTTAGTGTTGCAAATATATTCTGTAAAGAACTAAATAAAATACAAAGTAAGAGTTGAGAATCTCTACTCAGATTCACAAAAGTTAGAAGTGCAATAAATTCCATGCATGTAGTCACTTTATATACACTAACATAATACATTGGGCATGTTCAATACATAAACACAGTGGATCAAATTTAAAATTAAGCTTATGTCATGCATAAGTTGCAACACAGTCATATGCAAAATAGGCGTTTAGTCAAAAGAAGTTCAAAATACAACTTTTTTGCTGTTGCTAACTTGCTCAAGTTGCTGGCAAAGTTTCTGCAAAATGATTCCCAGTATTTGCATTTAACAAAAGAACAAAAACACATGAGTTGGTAGTTGAACTGTTGAAGGCATGGGACATCTATTTTGTTAAAGTGATGGTGCTCTCAGGTTGATGAACTCCAGTTGTATCATTTTTAGGAAGGTCAGATGACACCATCTTCTGTTTTTTTGGTTGCTCAAGAATCTCTGTTTCAAAGACCAGATTTCTTCGTGCAGGAGGTGGGAATTGTTGACTGGTTTTAGAGGGATTTGTGCAGCTGAATGAAGCTCTATTCTTTGCATCATATGGGGAAACTACTGGAGGTGTTTGTTCAAGTTCACGGTTGTCATCAAGAATATATATCACATCGAACCTCGGTTGGTTAGTTTTTGGATCAAATGAAAATTTATTCTTCGCGTCATATGGAGACACTATTGTAGATGTTTCTTCAATTTCACGGGTGTCATCAAGAATATATATCACATCGAACCTCGGTTGGTTAGTTTTTGGATCTGGGTTTCCTACTTTCATATAAATGAAGTGGTCTTCATTCACATAGTTAGACTTATGATCACCAATGATATGATATGGCTGTATGCAAAACAGTAAACAATATAGTATCAAGCTAAGCAGCTGAGGAAACTTTCTAAATGCAATAATAAATGAATACAAATAAACATTACCATTAAATTATCTTTCATTATTTTCTCAGCTGGAAGATGTAAGAATTTTTCAGCTAGATTACCGAATAACGATGCAGTAATGTTTCCAGTGTGATCTCCAATGCTAACGCTGCACCTTGCTCTGAGGGAAAAATTTAAAGTTAGTGCAATAAGCAGAAGCTGAATTTCAGTGAAGTTAAACTACACAAACAATGATTATCTTTGGCAAGCAAGAAAATATATATCATCATTACCTAGGAATTGCTCTTGCATGCATGTACTTGCAATAATTGCAAAGATACATTTCATTCAATTGAGCAAATGACATCCAACCACAAGTGTCACATGCCATATACCAAAGTGACTGAGTTGTTGCTTTCATTTCTACCTTTCCCCTGATCCAAAATGGTTTGCGCTGAAGCAAATACAAGGAATGTTAGCACAAATTTATTTTACCAAAGACGTGCTTTTAGAAAATATGAAGAATTCTAATGATAGAGTTCACTTCCATAGTTGAAACTGCACTATTTAATATACCGTTGATGTGTTTTCTAAAAGATCCTTGATGTAGATGACTCTGCCATTCAGAGGAAGTGGAATAGTGGAAGTATTTGGTAGATCATACGTCTTCTGAACTATCATCTCTGTCAACATTTCCTTGTTTCTTTCTGTCCTTAAACAATTATAGTTAACGATAAGTGAAAAAATATATAAACAATGAAATAAAATAAAGTCTTAGGAAATGAGTATTAAAATTTGTTCAAAAATAATGAATAACAAAATAAGTGTTCTAACCATTTTCTCAGTTCAACAAGTTTCTCAAACTTTGGATCTATGAAGATTGAGCTATTTGCTTTTGTGGACAATGATATTCCTATTAAAGACGTTACATTTGTGTAAGCAAAATAAAATCTACCTCTAACTCCCGATTTGTTAAAAGAAACAAATTAATTCTATGTTTATTTACCTTTGAATGACGTCACCTTTAAATGGTTACCGACAATGATTGGTTTTTTCATAAGGCAGTCAGCAATCTCAGCTCCTTCACGGTCTATAAAATTGTCCCAGATAGTTAATACAATTGCTTGCAACCTGCACACGAAATTATAGAAAATTTAGTCAATTTTTATAACTAGGATTGTATTGGTATGTCTCTAAAAGTTTAGCTTCTTGTATACTTAACTTTCATTAACAAGAACAATGCCTGGACAGTTGAATCTACATTTATGTTCGGAATTTTCCTTTTTGGACGAACATCAACTACAATACCCACAAATGCTGGGGAGAAAATAAGCAACAAATGAATAATCATTAGTGTTTTGTGATATCCATTAGTGCGAGATTTTACGTGTGCAACGGATACGTTTGTGCTGATGGTTTGATTTACCTATTTCAGTGTCCATGTCTATGTGCTTGTGAAGTTCATCAAATGTTGTAAACTGGAAACATGATTCCACAAGAGGAATGTGGTTTTCATTCACTTCTTCAATCCTGGTTGAACCACTAATTGTCCACTGGGTATTTTCACAAGTTGATCTAAATCGTTCATTTGTTTGCTTCACATATGCATTTGAGATTAAGTACATCTTTGATGGTACCAATGTATTTTCAAGAGTTTTAATATTCTGAGCAAATATAGTTGCTTGCACTTTGTTTTCCTGAATGAGTGATTATTAATATGTACACATAAGATCAAAGGTAACATGATAAAGTCATTTTCAAATCCATGTATGTATGAAAAATAAAACACATAAGGCTGAACATTTTACAGCTAATAAAGTGGGCATTTTGGTGTGTGGTAATTCTGAACACATTTTTTTATATTTATTTTTTCATTTGAAATTGGAAAAAAAATAATTATCAGTTTATATAACATGAATTTTAAAGAAATTATAAAGCTGTTTGAAAGAAATAAATGAAAGTTGAAATAATATTTTCATCCTGTTAGACAACCTCAAAATTTTTTCATATAAGCACAGGAATGACTATGTTCTTTCATTAACAGGAGCTGATATTAATGGGGAAAAGAAGAGTACTAAACTACAAAGAAATATGTTGTTGTAACTGAAGAAAAAATAAATCAAACATTAACAAGCTATTATTTTTTGCTAAATAAACTTACAGCGGTATCCATTAACCACAAGTGTTGATACATTCCATTCCCCTTCTGTGATGATCTTGGAGCCGTTTTTTCCACAACGACCACTTTACATGTCCACCCAGTTTCTCATGTTGCTATTTCGGGAATTAATTTGTGATTCGATTCCATGATCATCACTGGATAATGGAAATAAGAGAGAAACAATTACAAAACTGTTGTAAACACAGTACTGCAGTAAGTGTCATCATTCACATATATCATTCAGAGTTCCATGGGCACAAAAAGGAAAGGAAAATGTAAAGAAAGAAAGAATCATTTATTTCTCATCTTGTATCTCTGCAAAGTAAAACAGTGTTCTCTTCTTCGGTAGGAGAGAAGGGAAAATGTAAAGAAAAAATGAAAATAATTTACCTTGCTTGTTGTATCTTCTCTGCAAAATTAAACCATGTTTTCTTCCATTCGACTCTCTTTATATATTTTGTAGGATATCTATTGAAAGGATATCTGCTATCTGTTTTTCACATGATTATATTGTAGGATATATGCATGTGTTTGTGGAAATAGTACAACAGTAAAACACATAGATGAATGGACAAGTGAGAAAGTACAATCCTCAGATTAGCTGTCATAATAGTCCATACTTTGACTGTACAAGTAATGTGGACTGGCATGGGCTTAGGTTGAATTATATCCTACAATATGTAAAAGTAATATGATATGACAAGAAATTATGAACATCCATTTATCCATATAATATAAGTAAAAAAATATACATCCTGGCAATGTAAATATATGTCGTAAATATAAAGAAATTAGTAACACGTCCAAACAGAAGTTCAATTACAGAAATTTCAAAGGATTCAATTTCTATGACTGTAGATCATATTGCAAAACCTATATATATTATAAAAGAATTAAAACATATAAAGATACCTCCAAAGATTAGAGAATGGCAAAATTTACCAGGATTCCATGAGAATCAAGTTCTCAGATAAAGGATCAATTTAAACCATCAATTTGGAAAAGAACATAGCGACAAAATAACAAACATTCAAGCACAAAAGAACTCCCAACGAAAGCGACAATAACAACAAAAACAATAATAATAATTGTAATCATTTTTGAAGTTCGATTTAACTAACANAATAACAATTGCAATCATTTTTCAAGTTCAATTTAACTCACAACGTCTGGAAAACAACCAATCTAACATATAAAAGCTTAACAATGTAAAAAATAAATAAAGGGAAGAAAAAGAATTATTTGAACAATCCATAAAGGACTTGTCTGGGCACAATTTTCCTTCTAATAATTGATGTTTAGACTATTAGATTCCGACACATTAGACACAGAAATCAGCAACAAATTCAATGGCAAAAATTCCTTCAGTATCAATCGGGCATACAATTGAAGGTTGAGAATTTGGTAAATTCTGATATTCAGTGACCTAGACTGTAAACCGCACAACAATCGAAATATGAAATACATATATGTTTTTCTTTTAAGCCACATTATTTTTTTTCAAGACCACATGAATCTGTTGCAGACAATATGCTCCAAAAGTTTCGGAACATAAAGGAAATTAGAAGCTGGATTCATAACAAATAACAAATAGGAAATACATATACGATTTTTGTTTTAAGCCACATTCCTTTTTTCCAAGACCGCAGTAATCCATTGCAGAGAAAAAACTCCAAAAGTTTCGGAACGTAAAGGAAATTAGAAGCTGAAATCATAACAAATAACAGACGGTTAGAATCAAGCATTCATTAGAAAGGGCAAAATAATATCTGAAACAAAACAAATATCAAATGGACATAAATGTGAATCCTCTTTATTTTCACGAAGACCTTGCACAAAACTTTAAACACAACAAAAAGAGAATAACGATAAGTTAACAGCATACGTAAAAAGCCAACATAAAAAGGGGAAAGAATTAAAGAATTATAAATAAACATAGCCGGGATCCTGCACATCCGTTCTTTGAAGATTTCTCTAGTATTTTGGGAACAATTTTAAAAAATTTCCAGAGAGCAGCAAAATAAAACTCACAATAAATACACTAGAAATGACTAAATTCGAACATCTTTGCAATTTCAACGACATTTTTGTACTGATTTTATACAACTTGCAAGAAACCAGTATTTTAAATTCCACGTGAACTTCACCGGTTTTTTTTTAGCACACTTAGTTAAGAAATGATATTAAATCACTATGTACTAATATTCAGTTAGAAAAAAATGGTTGCTACTCATGAAGCATTTGGTTCAACCATAATCCTGAGCATCAATTGAGCATCAAAGGTCCTCCGACATCTCCTGAGAAAATAGAATCAAATAGTGTAAAATGTAATAAACTAAATAGAAGAAAAAATCAATCCCTACTTGAATCACTACAGACATTGAAACATGTGGGAGGATCTCAAAAGTTTTTTCTAGCGTCCACAACTTGCTACGATCATCGATTAGTAAATCTTCCATTTTATCTCACAGTTCTCACCAACACAATGAATAAATTTCACGCGATCATCGATTGAAAAAAAATCCAACAGCACACATAAACAAAGTCAAATAGAAAACAATTATATAAGCATCTTAAAACCATATAATCAAGTATCACTATTAAGGAGAAAAAATGTTTCTACATCATAAAACAAATTCATCAAACATCAGTGTTAAGAAAAAACAATTGTTCATGAATTAACCAACTTTGAACCACAATCCAAACATATAAACGTACCCTCTCTGAAAATGAGAAGCACTCTGAAATCAAGGTAATCAGGAACGATAGAGAGGAAAAAGAAAGGAACCGACGTTATAGAAGAAGAAAACCTCTGTTATTTAAGCCTCAATAAAATAATTTATTTATAATAATAATACAACCATCTTAAAACCACTCCATCAAGCATCGATACCAACAAAAATAAAAGTTTTTGAATAAACCAACCCTCAACCACAATCCAAACACATAAACGCATCTTTCCTGAAAATGGGACCCCTCTGAAACCTTAAAAATAAGAGACGGTACAGAAAGGAAATCAATCTGAAAGAAACGTATGTTCCTCCAAAATGAAAGCCCCTTTGAAATCTCATAAATAAGAGATAATAAAGAGAAGAATAAAGTCAGTAGCAACCTCACAGAAAAACAGAACACAACTTCCAGTATTTTACAGTAAATCGAAAAGAGGATCCGAAAGGGTAAAAATGAGTAACAACAAAACACAACAAATTGATCGTATAGAAAAAGAACCTAACGGTTCTCTGATAATCTGTTGATTTTACAACATGACAACAAACTTGAACCGGACGAAGTATGCAGTAAATTGAAAAGAATCGAAAAGAGGATCCAAAAGGGCAAAAATAAGTGACAAGGAAACACAACAATTCAATCGCAGAGAAGAAGAACCCAACGAATCTCTAATACTCTGCTGATTTTACAACATAGCAACAAAATTGAATCAGACGACTTTCTTAGGGTTTCAATAGGGAGAAACGAAATCGCCAGAGAAAGAGAGGGGGAAGAGAAGCGTCCAGAGAAATCGAATGAAAGGTAGAGAGAGAAAAATACAAAATTAGCGTAAAGAGGAAGGCAAAAGGACAAAAGGAGGATAGCAAATCCAAGAAAGATCTCCCGCAGCTCGGCTCACACGGCTCCACGAAACGGCTAGGCCAAACGGCTCAGATAAAGTGGTCAAATGGCTTAACAACATTGACAAAAAACCTCCACTTTCATATATTGTAGGATATTGTAAAATAATCAACTTAATTTTACACTTCAAATGGAGAAAACCCCTAAAATTGTTTACGGTTTCAAAGTGATAGAAATGGCGTAGACAGAGAGATAGAAAAAAGCGTACAAGAAATGAGAAAAAAAGACACTACGAATGGCTAGAGAGAGAAACAGTTGAGGGGAAAAGCTGGGCAAAAAGGGCAAAAAATTTTTAGTGCTTTGTGANCAATATTTTGGCCAGTTAATTGATAATACTACCGTTGAAGCCCTCAACGGTCAAAGAACGAATTTTCAGCCAGGATTTCAGTTGTGCCAGACAAGCCCTTAGTTTTCAACCCTCAATTTCAGCCTCCCTTTTCTCTCTTTTTTTTTCTTTAATGGCAGCCGGCCCCTCTTTCTTTTTGTAGGTCAACCCCAAATTCTTCTAATTTCATTCATCCAAAATAAGTCCAATTGAGGCCCATTTAATGTATTTCTCCAAGTCATCTTTTACAAATAATGCAATTTAATCCTTCACTTTCTAAAGTATAAAATTTCATCTCCAAACTTTGCATCCAGTAGCCAATTTAGGCC